TTTTTTTTTTTTTTTTTTTTTTTATCACCATATTGTTGTTTTATTATTGGCAATTGCTTCGGAGTTGGTATTTGTTTTGAGTTATCGAGTGAATATAGTATTTTTATTATTAATCTATCCTCTTTGGTTTGTTTTATTAAATTTAAGGAAACGGTTGTTGTAGAGCATGTGAATTGTGACCTAGAGAATTTTTCTTTTAGGTGCTTAAAATTTACTGTTTAACTGCAATATAGTAATAGTAATTATAATTTACTATTCAGCCAATTTTCACTTTCAAATAATGACCCAGTGGACTCTAGGCCTATGTTTTAGGAACCTGATAGACCCCCAAATGAGACGCTGAGTTAACGTTTTGCGTCCAGAAATCTATGGGCCCACACGATTCGAGATGCAGGCCCACAGCATTCTGCTGGCCCATGTTTAGTGGGTTGTTATTCGGCCATCGGCTCTTTTTAACCCTCGGGCCTACTTCAAAATCTTATCTTAATTATTAATATTTTTTTTTTTTATGTTTAAAATATATTTATATTAAACGGGGCTGAATCTCGTCTTGACGGGAGACCCCTATGGTAAAATGAGCCTCTCTTGTTTAAATAATTTAAATTTTAAGTTTTGAAAAATTGAGAAATATATCCACAGAGATAGGGAAATTGAAACTTGAAAATCCTTTATGATTGGCTACGTGGACGTTTTTATACATTACACAATCAATCATTTATTAATTTCTAATAGTTCATTGAATCCTTCTGGACGCCAAGTTTTAATAATTATTAAACAAGATTCAATAATAATTGAAATATATAATTAATAAATATATGTCAATTATCAAATAATTAAGGTGAAAAAAGAAAACTATACATCTCTCAATATTTAAAAAATGATTACCCAATTAATAATTTTATTTCGACAAATTATACAATTAATAACATTGTATTTGCTTAATTCTAAACTTTATGTTGTCATCAATTATAAAATAAAAAATTTAAAGTCTGATGGTATGATGTCCCTACCAAACTCCGTCCAACAATTTAAAAATGAATTATTATTTCCTTTAATTTGGCCAACCCAAAAAGAGTTTTTATGGAGAGAAATTTGGTATTACAAGACATCCATTCAAATTTAAAAGTGAATGAATGAGAGTGTTTGACTTTGCCATCTAATAAACAAACAATTGGTAAAGGCAAGGGGAAGGGGCCATGGGGGCTTTGGGTTTGGGCATTCATAGTGAACACTAAAATGTCACTTTTAATGGTAATCAAATTAGTGGACCATCTTTTTCTTATTGCCAATCTATTTCTTTGTTATTTATTTATTTATTTTTTTTTAGATTTGAGAGGCACAATTAATTTAATTTATTGCCATATAATTTGTATTTAATAAATTAGTTATTTTTTTGAGATTTAATAAAAATAAAAAATTTGGAGACTTATAAGACTAATGCTGAATGCGCAATTCTTTAACCCATAATTCAATATGTTCTCAACAAATACAACTACCTTTGTATTGCTTAGGCAACAACCAATAAAGCGATGTGATTGTGATAGTGATAAAGCCCATATATTTTAGCAAAGTTTGAATGAATGAGTACCTTTTTCTTCTTCTCTCTCTCCCCCCCTCTCGGTTCCACTCAAATCTCACATCGATTAGAGAGGGAAAAGCTCTCATATCGATTAAGAGGGAAACGAGTGCTAACGAGAGCACTGGGCTTCAGAGAGTTTGGATTGTAAGATCTCACATTGGTTGAAGAGGTAACGAAAAATTCTTTACCAGAGTGTAAAAACATCTTACTAGTGACGCTTTTTTAAAAACCTCGAGGGGAAACAAGAAAAATACCACTCAATTTCTCTCTCTCATATGCACAATTCCACTCAACTTCTCCTCCTCTCTCAACCTCATCTGAAGAATAAAATTAAAGGCATCCTTAATCCTATGGTCTTGTTAGAAGGATATGAAATGTGTGACATGTTTTGTTTTGTCGTGTTTAAGGGCTTCAACAACACAAAGCTCCAAGACAAAGTGGCTGGTTGGATTATTGGCACTAAATTCCCTTATTTTATGGGGGTTACTATATACAAAAATGAAGCATTTTCCACCAATGTTGCTCCAAAACAGAACCCATGTTCCACCAAAACTTCCAATTTCAAAGCTTTCCCCTCATTTTTGCTTTCCAACATAACATGTGGTAATCATTACCCACCTTCTTTTCCACGTTCAAACCTCGGCTTACAAAATCGATCGCATGAACGTGCTTAGATAAGAGAGATGAACGAAGAGAGGAAGAGGGACCTGCCCGAATAGGGTGAGGAATGGAGAAGGTGTTGAGGATTATTGGGAGGGAGCTCCCACGTTGGCTAATTTAATGGAAAATCATGGGTTTATAAGTGAAGAATACTCTCTTTATTGGTACGAGACATTTTGGGAAAGCTCAAAGGAAAATTTCATGGAGATAAGTGAAACTTCTTTTTCAAACAAATAAACACGCCTGTAGAAATTTTTGTTGTTTGGATAGTAGGATAGTGTGGTTGAATGGTGATTGAAAACTACTTTTTATTTCAATAAGAAGTTTTTAAGTATTCCTCCACTCAATGACGAGACTGAGGGTCGACCGACTTTGATTTTCGAATAAATTAAGATAAATAGATGTTCAGGATGTTTCAATGAAACACATGGATCAGTTCCAAAAGGATGTATCGGAGCAAGTCAAGATGGGCCATGGGTCCCAAGACATGGGACAATGTCGAGATGACAATGAGATGCGACGTTATTGTGTCACAAACAATTAAACATGCACGTGCAAGCAACGTGTGTAGTCGAACAAGCTTGGATTCCATAAAAGCGATGTTTGGTTGGCGAAAACAAATCTCGCCTAAGGCCTGAAAAGACACAAGTCGGGCAACAAAATGTATATGAGGCTTGAGTTATGCAGAATGTGCCGGAAATCCGGAAGCATGAGTAGGAGAGAGAAAGATAGAGAGAGGAGGGAGATAAGATGTGCATGTGGTTTGTATAGAGAACACATAGGAAAAGGTGGGTGTTTGGTTGAAGTTGTACCAAATTCCACAAAAACAAGAGAAGAAGAATAAGAAGGGAATGAATGAATTGAAATTAGAGAGCATACAGTGAAATCGCGGTGTGGGAGACAAGGTCGTGGTCGAGGCGTACGAGGGGAGGGGGGAGAGGGAGGGGGCATCCAAAACCTCAAAACCTTTGCCTTTGCCTTTTGCCTTTGCCCCTCCTCGCATTCCAATTGCCAATGCCATCGCCCAACCACCTCTCCTATCCGACAGTCGCTTTCCTTTTAGTCCGTTGTCGTTTTGATTTAACCCTTCCACTTTCTTCCTCCTTTCACATTTTATTACGACGCATGATTACATCTAAATTATTGTTACTTGGATGATATATTTGAAACTTCTATCCACATTCTTTTATACGTTTGTGGTCTTATATTATTTTGCTCAGACCGATAGCTAAGGCATATATTTCTTTCTTTAAAATTAAGTGTCCATCATTTACTCACATAATTGTTGAATTTAAGAAAAAAGTGAGACGTGCAAAAACCTGCCCTAAAATACAACGCCGCTTCATGTTAATGATATTTTGAAAGCATTTATGAATAAAAAAACACTTTTTTATATTAATTTTTCTTAAATTAAAAAGGAGTCATTTTAATGCTTTATTATTAGAATATCTAAAAATAGTATTTTTTTTTTATATAAAATAAAAAATAAAAAAGTACCGGATGCAGGTAATTGGAGAAATGGATATGCTTGAAATTTGAGCAAAGACGTAGAAGCTATAATAAAGAAGATGATGATGGAAAGAATTTAGAAGTAAAAGTTTTGGTATGGGGAGACCCCTCTCAAAATAGAACACGAAACCATTGGACAACACATAATAAATTATAAGTGTGTTATTTTATAAAGTGATGTTGCTTGCCTTGAAAGGACATCCTGTAAATAGTAAATGGAATTTTGGCTTTCTTACTCCAAGTAGCTATGCAACCAATCAAATTACACCCTACGTTTTTTTATTTTTTTCCAATAAAATATTATATTCTCGTCTTTTTCACCAAAAACTTATTAATATACAACCGGATAGGGTCTTTTATTAAATTTCTCTTTTCAAATTTTCCCCGAGATTTTGCATATGGTCTAGAGAGATATTCACATTCTTATATCAAATGTTTTGTTTCTCTCTTCAACGGATTGTAAGATCTCATAATCCACTTTTCTTGGCGGCTTAGTGTCCTCATGGCACATTGCTCAGTGTCTGACTTTGATACAATTTTTAAGAGCCCAGTCCAAGCTCTTATCCTCTTTGAGATTTCTCTCTCAGAATTCCTCTCAAGATTTTACAACCCATCCACTAAGGAAAAATGTCCACACCCACCTCTCTTCAATCGATGTGAGATCTCACAACCCACCATTTGAAAGCATTTGTGACTTTTCTGGTTCAACTCAATTTAATTTTTTTTTATCTAATTTTCGTAAAATGTATGAAAAAAATTCTAGGGAGTTCGCAGTATACTACATTTTAAAACTATGATCTAACGTGAGCATTTCTCTATTTTTTGAAATATTTTGTAAACTAGATTTTTATATGATATAAATAAAAAACGTAAATTCAACTTTGA